CCAAGGTAAATGCCGTGCGACTGTACTGCAATTCTGTGCGCAGTACAGGCTTTCATGTCCGGCATGTCCGATGAGTTTTGATTGTGCTGTCCGCTCCCTTCGATTTCCCTTTCCTTAGGAAGGACGCGCATCTATTGTATGAGGAGAGAGGATTGGAGGTGGTTGTTTTCTGTCCTCTTCATCTTTTTGTGTTGGGTTCTACTAACGCGGCCTTTCCCCCTTCCCACGCCTTGGACCGTATCACCTCCTAGGTCATGTACCTCAATGGCGGACCTCTCATTAACGAGTCAATGGAACTACGTGTATGGGGACCGGACGGATTGTTTCGAAAGCGCCGCGCCTCGGCTTCCCCCTCGACCCCAGGCTCACGTTCACCCGACTACGGCATTACGAATTCCAACGGTACCGTCGGCTTCATGGTCATGAACACTTCTGTTGCTGCTGCTGTCGGCGGCAACGTGTCGTACGCGGTACGACAGGGCGCGGCAGTGGTGGTGGAATTTCTAAATTTTGAACAGGAGGGAGGAGGTGTGTGATAGGAGCCGGCGATAGGATGGGAGGGGGAGGGAGCAGTGTTGTTGCTCTTTAGTCTCAGGCTCCGAAATGTTTTGGAAGTTTTATTTGCTCTTGCTGTCAAGGTTTAATTATAATTATAAAATGATGTATCGTGTCACAATCAACAACGAACAATAAACGTAAAACTACAACCGCGTCGTAAGGCCCGCTGTACGACCCGCCCCGACGCCCCATCTCCTTCCGCCGTCCGCCGTAGATTATTTTCAGTCATGCCGGCAAGTCGTACAGTGCCGTACTCCAGTCACCGGCGGAGGCGGCCAAGACGACGGGGCAGGTGCCTGGCGGAGGCGGCGTCGTCAGCACCCTTTTGCCCGCAGCTGAAGCAGATGCGATGTACGACATAACGATACCGCCGCCGTCTTTTTCATCTGACTACATGACATCAGTGGCGTTCATTTTTCAATTCAAATCACTTAACAGTACGGCACAACCTCTATATCTTCCAGCTACCAGGTGCGTACCGTATGCTTAGGGCTGCTACTGCTGCTGCTGCTATCGAATTGGCTACTGCTGTTGCCGGCGCGGCTACTGCTGCTGCTACTGCCTCGCTCACGTCTGCTGTTGCTGCTTTACGCCCTCCCCCTTCCAGGCTGTGGGTTATGAACTTGTCGTACGTGTTATCTGAAAGCTCGGAGGAGACCAAGTACACCGTACAAAAATCGTACAACACCCCAACGGCCGAGCTGTCGATGCAGCCCGGGAACTACACCTTGAGCGTGGGTGTCTGCTGCTAAGAGTGTATGTGTATGTGTATGTGTATGTGTATGTGTATGTGTATAAGATAACGGGTATGTTCCAGCTCGGGGGGGTCCCTGTGAAAGAAGAGACACCCCGGGGGGTTTGTGCTCTTGCATGTGTGTACGGGTGCGCTTTGGCAGGCCAACCTGAACCCCGTGACCATCCCCTCCCCCTTCCCCTCACTCGTTTGTGGTTCGTCTTTCCCCCTCCCCCTTCCCTCTCCCCTTCCCCTCTCCCCTCCCTCTTTTACTCGTTCGTGGTTCCCCTCCCCTCCCCTCCTCTGATGATCCAATGTCGTACCTGATTTTCCCTCTCTCTTGCAGATGTTCGACGCCAATATGTCGACCGCTGAGCTGTTGCCCTCCCCCAGCAGCTTCTCCGTACCACCTTCCGCCAGCCGGGTGGTGATCACCCTGGCAGTACCCATGTCGGCGGTCGTCCTCTCTGTCAACTTCACAGGCCTGTTGACGGGGGGTTCCCCCGTGCCGAGCAACCCCATGGGCATGCACGTCATGGCAGATCTGTACACGCTGACGACTTCGGCCGCCAGCGGTAGCAGCAGCGGCCATATCAGCAGCAGTAGCCGCAGTAGCAGTAGCAGCAGTAGTGGTGGTGACAGCAGCAGCGCCAGAAGGAGAAGTAGCAGTATCGCGGCTGCCCTGGAGTCGACGATGTTGGTAGCAGGAGCATTCGTAGCAGGAGGTAGAAGCTTGGGGGTGAGCAGTAGCAGCAGTGCGAGCGGTCCTGCGGCTGCTACTGCCGTTTCGCAGTTCTGGGGCAAGCAGGTCGTGGACGAGACCCCGTGGGCTCTGCTGCCCGGGTGGGTCGGGTGGGTTTGGGGTTTTTTAATTACCAGGTGACGTACGGCATTTTACCCCCCCACCACCTCCCCCACCGTCCTCGCCCCTTGCTTTGCTTTTTTACACCTGTTCAAAGCGCAAAGGACAAATGTACGGCAGATGTACGGCAAATCTTGTTTCCCTCACTAACCTACGACACATCTAAATCCATCACAATCACCACTATCCGTCCGCAGGGGAGGGCCCTATGAACCTCCTTACGTCCTTACCCCTCCCTCGCGAATTTCCCGTTTCTTTCACCTCTTCCCCTGCCCCACACCCCCTCCGCCATGCCCCTCCCCTGCCCCACACCGGAATAGATTAGTCGGGTCGGTCGGGTCAGTCGCGCGTTTTAGTTTTTTTTTGGGGGGGTTGGGAGGAGCACTTGCATACCGACAGCCTTTCACGATAGCACTATTTTACTCGCCGCCTTCACTACTACTTTTTTACACCTATTTCTTTACGGTTTGGCTATACTATTCAGCTTTTTAATTCTGGCGGCTTAGGTAGGTAGGATTTCCGACATCAACGTCACTTCGTCATCCCGAGGTCACAGTCGTCACAGTCGCCACGGACGCCTTTCGGTCAGTTTTTACGTTTGCTACTCTCTTGCCCTGGCAGCAGCTTCAATCGTGTGTGGTTCGTCTTTCCCCACACCCCCTCCGCCATGCCCCTCCCCTGCCCCACACCCCCTCCGCCATGCCTCTCCCCTGCCCCGCACCCCCTCCGCCATGCCTCTCCCCTGCCCCACACCCCCTCCGCCATGCCTCTCCCCTGCCCCACACCCCCTCCGCCATGCCTCTCCCCTGCCCCACACCCCCTCCGCCATGCCTCTCCCCTGCCCCACACCCCCTCCGCCATGCCTCTCCCCTGCCCCACACCCCCTCCGCCATGCCCCTCCCCTGCCCCACACCCCCTCCGCCATGCCCCTCCCCTGCCTCACACCCCCTCCGCCATGCCTCTCCCCTGCCCCCGTTGAGTGTGCGGGGCCCGAATACCCTCGTCGCCTTTCCCCCCCTGGTCTGCAATAAATTTTCCTGATGCAGCATCTATCTTCTCCTGAGCTACCCGTCTTTGGTATCTGCTCCATTCGCCAGAGGTTTGTCTTAACCCCCCTGTTTGCCATGCCCGCCTGGCTGTTCTCCTCTGCACCATATAACCGCCACTTACCCCTCCCTGGACTGCGCGTAGTGTCCCGTACAAGGCCGAATTCCGGTTAGCATCGGGGTTGGACCTGGGTGTCAAGTATTTCACAGCGCCATACCTGGATTCCCAGTACGCCAGCGTCAACGTGGCGCTGCCGCAGCTGCTTATGTGCGCCTATAGCACCCCCAATTTCCTCACCGGCAAGAAGGGCAGGTTTCCGGAGAACCCTGGCTCGGTTGTCTTTTTTTCCGGTAGGTGGTTGGCGGTTTGGGTGGTTGGGTCGTTTTTTGGTTGGTTGCAGACGTCCTCCAGCCCCCCCCCCGGATATTGTGATTGCGGGCGCGCAGGGGACGCAGAGCGTCATGAAGCTTGTTTTCCGAAGGTTGGGGTTGGGGATCCTTCTTTCTTTAATGATCGTGTTATCGTTTGGCTTATATAACTTACAGACATGGCATTGAGAATCGGTTAGCTCAGTTGACTTCGATTACATATATTATATAGCATCGTCCATATACCGGTATATATATGTTTCCGGTCTTGTATAATGACATTTCCATGACGTTACCCTCGTGGCTCCGCAACCTCATAACCGTCCAACCCCCAATTGCCAACCGTCAACCGCCAACCGTTCCCACAGGTCTCAACTGCACTTGGCGCATCATCACCGGCGACCCCGCCTTTGTGAAAATCAACATCTCTCAAGGCTCTTGGACGTTGAGGGTGTTCGCGGATGGCGTGGAGAGCGACATTTCGCTTGGTACCGGGGGGATATACACACCGCTGCACAAGGCCGCTTACAAGTAGGTGATCGGTGGTAGGGCGTGGTAGGGCGTGGTATGGGGGAGTAGGGGGGGTAGGGGGAGGAAATAGTGGGGTGTGTGAAAGAGGGAGAGAGAGGAGAGGGAGAGAGAGGGGAGCGGGAGGGAGGGAGGGAGACCTAGGGTATCGCTCCAATCGCTGAGAACACCACCACACCGCCGCCGTTGCCGCCGCCGCCGCCAACCCGCCCACTCCCGGCCCCCTCGCCGCTGCCGCACCTGCTGCCGCCGCCGCCGCCGCCTCCACCGCCACTGCTCCATACCATCCCGGCAGCATAACCATCGTATTCGACCATGGCGGCTACGACGGCGTCCTCAACTATTTTGTAATTGAGTGGGAGGCGCAGGTCGCTCTGAGCTCCATGCCCCCCCAGTTCATCATGATGATCGCGGCGTCCTCTGCTGCAGCCGGAGCCATGTTGCTGTTCCTGTGCCTGTGGCACTGCGTGTTTCGCCCGGTGCAAATGCGACGGCAGGTAAGCGACACAGAGAAGCTAAACTCTGAGCTTTTTGCGGGTTTTAGGGTTGGGGGGTTGGAGGGTTGAGGGTCTTAGGATTGGAGTTGGCGGGTGGGTGGGTGTGAGTGTTTCCCCCTTTGCGGGGTGGCCGTTTCGTTTAGCCGGGGCACGATCTTTCATTACCCGACCCCGACCAGGCCAGATCTTCACCTGGCCTGGTCGCCCGCCGCCTCAGTTTGTTCAGCCTCGGCGGTACGGTCTGTCAGTCACCTTTTCCGCGCCAATTCCCCCCCCCCCCCCAGGCCGCTGCTGCAGCCGCCGCCGCCATTGCAGCCGGCGCCGCCAACGCCAACGGCGCTCACCTTGCGCCCGGGGCCCGCAGCGGCGCCAACCGCAACCGAGTGCCCCGCCGATATCTTCGCATGATGGACACAAGTGTGTATTCCGCCAAGGAAGCTGCCGCCGCCAAGGAGGCCGCCGTACCGGCGGCAGTGACGGCAGCGACGGCGGCGCCGCCTGTGGTGAGGAAGGATACCGCGAAGGTTAGCAATGTGACCGACGTGGTGGTGGCTGAGACTGGTAGTACGGTCGACGTGGGGGCGGCAGCGGCGGCGGCGGCGGCGCCGCCGCCGTCACAGCCGGCGTCCAACGGTCCCGCCAGCCAGAGCGAGGCCGAGGCCGCCAGTGGCGGCGAGGTGTGTTCCATCTGCCTGTGCGAGTTTGAGGACGGCGATCGCATCAAATATTTGCCGTGCAAGCATTTCTACCACGTGGCTTGCATCGACCAGTGGTTGGGACGTGACATCACCTGTCCGCTCTGCAAGGATGATGTACTGCATGCGCTCCGGAGTCTGTACGGCCCGCTTCCGCCGAGGGGAGGGAGCTTACGGCAAGGTCGCGGCGGCGAGGATGACGCTGCCGTCACCGCCGCTGGAGCGGCGACGGAGGTTGGCAGCGGCGGCGAAGGCGGCATAGTGCAAGGTGCTGCCGGGGCTGGCAGCGGAGGCGGTGCCGCCACCCATGCCAGCGTTGCCAGCGGCGCAGATCTGGAGATGGTCGTGATCATGTCACACGTTCCTGGGGTTGGCGGCGGCGGCAGCGGCGGCGGCGGCGAGGGTGATCATACTGGACCGTTGCCCGGTAGTGTCAGTTCTTTGCAAGGCACGGCCGCGGCTGCCGATGCCGTGGCTGGCGGCGGTGCCGGCGTCGGTGCGTCGACGGTGTTGCTAGTACATGCCAGTGGCGGCGGCGGCGGCACTGGCACTATCACCACCATATCCTCGACCACGCCGCGCCAGCTGGGCCCCGTACGACGCAACATTAGCACGGACCTGACAGCGGAGCACGACGAAACTAGCACTGGCTCCGATAGCGGTGACGACAGCGAGTACGACACCGCAACCCAGCATCCTCTCCTGGGCTCCAACGCTGTCCCCGCGTCCGCTTCCGTCCCCGCCGCCGCCGCCGCCGCCACAGGCGGCAGTGGCGCGAGTGCACGCGCATCGCAAAACGTGTCACAGTCACACGGGTTTCGGGGGCAAGGCGCCGCACCTGCTGGTGCGTTAGGTGGCGGCGGGATTGAAAATCAGCTAGCAACAGATATTGTTCCGGTTGCCTTGCCATTAGGGTCCACGGGGGCATCGCCCAGGGGCTGCAGCGGCGGCGGCGCTTCGTCGTACTCCGAAACCACTGGTTTGACACCCAGTCCGCGGCCCGTGGTGGAGCACGTGCAGCGTTCGCCGTGCAGCAGTGGCGGCGGCAATGGTCCGGCAATGAGGTGGATCTCCGGAGGCTCGTCCCAGGTGCGCTGCCACGACCCGTGGCGTTAGCGGCTGGCGGCGGCGTCACGATGCATCGCCTGGCACGCGCACAGGAGGCCCAGATGGCTGTCGTCGCCGCCGCTCTGTCCGCTGCCGCCGCCGGGGTCAATAATGGTGGCGGCGGTGGCGGCGGTGGCAGCGGCGCCAACAGCTGGCGTGCGGCGTCCACCACGTCCGTGAGCTGTGCGGGCGTGCCGTCACCATCGGCGGCCCCCGCGTCACCGTCGTATTTGGACGGCAATGGAGCCGGCAGCGGCACCGCCGCTGCCGCTGCGGTGTTGTCGTACAGAATGCACAATAACCCGCTGGCCGCCGGCAGCACCAGCAGTCGGTCCGCCAGTATCGGCAGTCCCCGAGCTGCCGACAGGCTGTCGCCGTCGCCGCTGGCATGTACGGCGGTGGCAGCAACGGCAGACCATCTTTCGGAGTCTTTCAGCCTCGCAACTTCCACACCCGCCGCCGCCGCCGCCGCCAATGTTCCGCCGTAGTTACACGCAATCTCCACCCTGCTTGGCTGCCCCCGCAGTAACAACCCAAACCAGGTCAGTTACAGTAATCGCTGTAGCTGGCATGGGGTTGCGATTTGCGTTGTGGAGCGGAGCTGTTCAAAGGCAGTTGCTGTGCGCAGGAACCGTCCCACTTGTCGTACAAACTCCACCGCTCACTGCGTCCTGTGTGCGCCATCGTGGTGGCTTTTAAGGCGGACAACTGTCTGCCCAAGTACGGCACGACAGACATTTGCCGTGCATCGCAGGGACTGTGCGCAGGGACCGTACGGTGCCGTGTGCATGGATGGATGGACGAGGGACTGAGTGAATGAATTTAGAATGAATGAATCTTTTTTCGTTTTGAGAAAAGGGGGAACGTTCACCGGAACTTTCACCGCATCGCGTACAGGGCTGTCTATCTGCGGTCTTGTGGTGGGATCTGTCAGGTGACTTGTGTGTTTGTGTGTTTGCTTGCGACGGTTACACTGTGTGTGTGCATGAATGTACGATTGCCTAAAGAAAGTGATGGGGACAGGCGGCTATGGGGTAGATATGACTAATTGTTGTATTGGCATGTGTTGGTTGGAATGTCGTTGTGTGTGGGGGGGTTATGGGGGGTGTGAGAGTGTGGATTCTGCTGCTGTCTGGGGGTTTACACAGGTGCCGGGTGGATGAGCCTCTTGGGTTTTGTATTCCTATTGTTGACTGTTGGGCAGGGTCGGGGGTGGGGTTCTGTCCATGAACTGTGCTGCGCGCTTTGCCAACGCTTGGTTTAATGACACCGCATGGTGAAATATCCCCCTGCCGAACTACAGTACGTACGGCAGCACGGGGCATACGACACAGCCTGAGGCATGCCGACCTAGCTGTCCTGCATCCCCCATTCTGTCCGCATCTTTGACGTTACATCCGTCGTACTAAAAGTCGTATGCAATGTCGTCATACGGATTTGTGGTGCTGGATTCCGGGGATTTTCAGTATTGCGTTCCCATAAGCATGAAGGAATAACACATACATAAATACATACACACATACACACATATTTAGATACTCAAAGCTCTTGCATGTTTGCACAACCAACACCATGCATCCTCAAATGGGCAATGTGTTCGTTCCCTCCCCTCCCCTCCCCTCACTCCTAAAACACACCTCGCGAACTACCCTGCCATGCCTGCACTATGGTTGTCACCACAGGGCAAATGCAGTGGACATCGCTATCGATCTATCTATTTACACAGGAGGACACAGATAAAATAACAAGGCATAGCGGTATATGTAAATTTATGTATATTTATACATATATATGTATATGTATATATGCCGCTTTGCTCTGTTGATTTTACTGTTCCTCTGTTCGTTATGTCCGCTGCTGCCGCGAGTCGACCACACACATGGCGCGGCCGCCGCACCTTCATGTACGACACACCCACACTGCCTCCCTCCCTCCCGCCCAGAGCCGCATGAAGGGTACAAGTCCAAAAGTTTGAGATATGGATCCCGATGTGCACCCGAATGGATACTTGGTCACGTCGCATACGGGCATGTGGTTGCACAAACAAGGAGTGGAATGGGGAGCCGATCCGGAGTACGGCAAAATCGCACAATTTCATGCCGTACATGGCATTGACGTACTGGTGTTGTTGTGATTGGAAAGAGGCCTCTAGATGGGGAGAGACCTTTTCGGGTACAGTAACAATGGCGAGGGGAGGGGGGGGGAGGGGGAAGAGGAGGAAGAGATGATGTCGGCTGCTTTCATCCCACCAAGGAGCGTCCATTCGCGCCAAATCCCTAAGCAGTAGCGCGCTACTGCTGCAAGGGGTGTCGGCAGGTGGGCAGCTGCACCGTCTCGACTCCCGATTGCTTGCTTTTGAGGTTAGGTCCCCCCTCCCCTCCCCTCCCCCGGGGGGCCGCATTGACACTGGAATCCGTTGTTGTCCAGGAGGGCAGCGCAGCTGCCCCAGGACATCATACATAAAATAATCCGCCGACCTGAATGTTCTGTTTTTATCCTCTTCTCCAATTCTTCAATTTCGATTTGAGCTTTGTTTTGTTTTAGTCATTTCTTTTTTCTGTTGAGTTGCCTCGCACTTTGCGCTACTCGCTGATGGTGTCCCAATTGAAAATTTTCCAGGATTTCATTTTGTTTTTGTCCGATGGGCCCGCGCCTAGATAGGGGTTCTGGATCCACATCGCTAAAGCGGTGGTGGCGGCAGTGGAACGCCCCTCACGGGGGACGTGAGGTCACTGGGGGCGTTCCGGGGGTTGCGGGAGGGAGCAGCTTCCTGCCCCCTCCCCTCCCTGGGCCGATGCATTTCTGTCCTTTTCATTGCGGCATTTTGCTCTTTTTAACAAATTGGTCCGCTAGAGGTTTTGCTGCTAATGGCGCCATAGCTCCCCATGTGGGCGGCGGTTGTTAGGTTTTGTGCTGCCCGGGGTAGAGCGTGGCTCCCGAAGGGGTTTTTTCCAGGTTGTCATGTACGTCTAAGAAAGGAGGTTGGAACGGAGGAGCGATGGACGGAGGAGGAATAGGAGAGGTCAGAAAGTGGTTGATGGCGAAATAGGAACATCGGTATGGGCGAAGTTGATGAAGAGGGGAAGGCGTGTGCTAGCAGCGGGCGTGGCGGCAGTGGTGCTCTGGAAAAGGGATAGACATTGAAGCCGAGTTAATAGCAGCAGTATGCGTCTGTTTAAGTAAGTATGTGTGGGGGGGGAGGAGAGAGGGGGGGGGAGAGGAGGGGGCGGCTTTGGATTGATGCCGAGTAAAAAACGGATGTCGCAGTTGGGAGAGGGCATTACGAGAGCGGTCCGGGAGCGATTGCATTGAATTTTCGGATTTTTCAAGCGCGCCGAATCCAAACGTCTGAGTGCACCGTACATCAACGCCTGTACACCTTACCTGAGTTGTATTTCTGTAAGTACGACACTGTACGGGTGGTCGACAGCACAGGAAACCAAATGTTGGTTGACGATTCTTGAGGACACCTGCCATGTATTGCTGATAGCTAATTAAGTAGCTGTGTTGGTTGTGCGGTCGGTTGGTCGGTTGGCGAGTTAGTTGCTTCTGTTTGGTGAAAAAAAACACCAATATGGGAGCTGACCGAAACCCGCACCTCGGTTGCGAGGACTCGAGGGAACACTTAGGGTTTGATGACTAGATGAGCATTCAACACGTGAACACGGAAAGCAGTTATTGTGTATTCTTGGTGTTGGTCACATCATCATTCTTGAGTCTTGAGATACGCGTCCAGCTGATTGACGGGCCGTCTCCAAGTGCCGCAATGTTGCGAAGTGCTGCAGAGTGGGAGCGTGCGAATGGCGGGTGGCGTTGATGGCAGCCACCCGACCAAGTGGTGGTGGTGGTGGGGGTGGGGGTGCTTCTCTTATGCATTCTGCGTCACCCTTTCAGAGGTTTATTTCTTCTTTCTTTTTTCACGGACGAGAATTTACTCGTTCGCGCTGATGTATGATGTATGGCCGCTTGCGGTGGGGCTGTTGGATGACGGCTTGATGAGGGGAAAGAGACAATGGATAGGGTGGGGAACGAACGTTTTTCGTCCCCGCAACGTATGACATTTCCTACCAACAATTGGCGTTACGCACACAGTAAGTTCTGCAGTGCTTTAAGTTCCCTCTGCCGTACATCCCCGCCGTACACATGCCAAATCGGTCCGGAGAAGACCGGTTGGCTATACCCTGGCCCTGTGTTGATTCCGATTGCTTAAAAGCTTTTTCTTGGAGTTTGGAGCGAAAGCCATCATGAGCCTTCACCCCGCTGTGCAACCCCCGCACCAGCCCGCGACCATGTAGTACTCCTACCTGCTCTACCTGCAGCTGTATGTACCTGGTGTGACCATGTGTTGCTTAGCAACGATTTCTTTCCCTAGCAGTTGCACCACCACTACCTGAAAATCCTAGTACTCGTCTTTCCATACCAGGTTTCATACTTGTATTGAGCGAGCCCTGTAGCCCTCTTCCATGTGCAGTCAGTCATCAAGGGTGTTATTTAACTGGTTTCAGCACCCACTACCACCACAAACTATCATGTTCGCGCGGGTGTTCGCACCCCAGGAAAGAGCAACTAGAGATAGATAAAGGTTGGCTCTTATAGAATCGGCTGTTATGTATGCCGCTGCAAGGTTCCACACACACGCTGGCTGGGAAGCAATTGTTCCTCTGCATTTGTCTCCAAGTGGATTATGTGGGCAACGCCATATTATATTACCTTACTAGCCACGCACGTGCACGCATGCACACAGTTCGGCTGAGGCGGCAAGTTAAAACATTTACACACAAATGACACTTGCATTGTATTGTATTGCATTGTTTGGATCTGATTGCTGTTGGTAGTTATAACCAACGGTGAGGGATCCGGATCCATCCCGATATTTGTCCATCCGCCCCACCCAGCTTCCCTGCGCTTCTTCCAGCAGAGCAGCAGACTGCACCCACGCACGCAAAAACGCTGCTCGACGAACCTCTTTGCATCGATTCCGGTCGTGGGGTGGGTATACAGCAGGTGCTCCACCACGCAGAGCCCCCAACCCACACACACACACGCTGCATGATTTCACTGCGATGCACTGCTATGCACTGCTGTATGTATGTAAGTATGTATGTATGATCATCCTGTATTATTCCCGATACATACATGGGACCTTGCAGCACCTATCGTACGACACCATACATCCAAAAAAATCACTGTATGATCCTACCTCGCTCTAAGGTTCACTCATTCATGATGCATGCACATGCACATTGAAGGGAAAATCGCCTGAAAAGGAGGAAAGACGCAGCAAGAGTAGATTGCCTGTGCAGTGAATTAACTGTAATAGTAGCTGCTGGCCGCTGAAAAGGCCTCTCAAGATGCTGGCAGAGCGCCTCAGCACGTCTTCGTAGACGATACGGGTGCCGTACTATATATGTACCAGCTACTACACTAACTATGCAACATAAAGCTAGACATGATGTTCTGCTTATGTGTGCACACACACACACATACATACACATACACACTATGACTCCATTCTGTCTTCTTCTCTTCAGCGTGTGAGGGAAGAGGGTCAAGAAGGATGAAAGGCCTACCTACATACCTACCATTATACAGTAATAATAATTCTCGAAGTTCCACACACACACACACACACACACACACATACAGAGCATTGTGATATGCGGGAGCACCTCCTTCCTGCCCGCTTGCTCTACATGTGACGAGTCTGCTAGTTTCGTTTATTGTACCTGTTTGATCCAGTTGGTTAGCTTGAGCCAACCAACCACCGAAGGGCCCGCCGCAACTGGAGCTTGTTGCTTCTGAGTAGATGCATCTGGACGCCGCAAGTTTTAACCGTAGTACCTGGCATCGTGTTGCAGCAATGTCTCACTACCTCCAGCGACCATCTTGTTAGGAGCCGCAGCAACTTTTCCATTATGGACGCACTGCTGCCTGATGATATGATTATATGCGTGAGACTTGCTATGAAATTTGCGTCCGCTGGACGCACACGAAATTTCAAATTGGGAAATCGCATACAGTCGGCCGTCGCAGAGGTAACTGGGGGGCCCATCTTTGTTAGATATTATGACATCTTCAACAGCCAGCCAGACTAGTGAACAGATGCTGTGTGGATTTGTGCAAAGTCGTGTTCTCACTAAAACCAGTGCTGGCATGACAATGTCAGAAGGCTTCTGTAAAGGAGTCCGACCACTTCAGCCAAACCCCTTCGATATGTTCTGAAGGCCCCTCAGCCCCTATTCCGAAATGAGCACGGAATGAACAAAAAACGAACTCCCAACGAAGGGATTCCCGGGAAATCGAAGGAAGACCGGTTCCCAGAGGACCCCGCGGGGTCCACTGTAACAACCGCATTCTGCTTAGGGCTGCGAGGTGAGGGGAAGTCAATCTCGAAGCCATGGAAAGCTATCTTCGCGCTCTAATTTATCTGAATTTTCTCCTCTGGCCAATCGATAAAGAGTTGATGTAGCTTTTGAACATTGATGTAGCTTTTGAACGCAGCAGTGAACGGCGCGAAGTGCCATTTGGGGGGCCTCGCCCCCAAAAGACTGCCGAAACTCTGGTAGCCTGCCATAATCGCACGCGACGAGCTTGTCCAAATGTCACGGATCTTTATGTACCCTAAAACCCTAAAACCCTGCAGCTTAGAGTGTCGAAACCTTGGCTCGCTCAGTCCTGCAAACTTCCAGAATGAAATTCGATTACACTAAGACATTCGTCTGTTGTGATCGTTGTGTTCCACTCTCGCCACCCAGGCATCATGACCCAGCAGGTCAGTGTCAGTGCTCTTGTTGGCGCTGCGGATAACCACCCTGAAAGTGGCGAGGGGGGAGAAGATGGGGGAGGTGATTTGTTCCCAACTCGACTCTTTCAAGAGCCCCAGGTTGGATACTGGTTTGTTTCTTGGCGCCAATTAGTTCGAGAAGCCATGAGTCGTCGCTGTCAATGTAACTATGAGATTCAGTTTGATCGTCCGATAATTTTACAATGTTGATAAGCGGATATGTGAAAATACGTATAGAACTAAAGGAGTTTCAGTGCGCGGGTGCACGGGCCGCCTTACGGTTTCAATCAGCAAAATTTATAAAGAACGTCTTGATGTTGTTTTTACGATTCCGAATTGAGCCAGCTCATCCTTTGTGTGTCAACTGAGTTGGTTGCACTTGCATGTTGCATCGCACAAGCAGCTGTGGTGGCGCCCTATCAGATTCGATTCAGCGGGTCGCCAGCAATCCAAGGAACGCATTTTAATCTTAAGGAAAAGCTGTTTTGTGCTGTCAAATGGAAGGCGGTACTAACGGTCAGCTCCAGGGTTGGAACCAATTTCCGCCCGAAATTTCTTGCTGGTCAGAGCTGTGAATTGCAACGATCAGAACACGGACGTCAACCTTAAGCTGTGTTAATTTCGCGTTTACCTAGTACTTGGGCTCGACGCAGATAAAGCAGAACCTGCGAGACGCTATGACGCCAGATCAGTGGAGGAAGCTTATGCGTGCTGCTGTTGCAGACGCTGGCCTGGATTCTGTTGGACTAGACGAAGATGACATAGATAAGCTCTGGGCAGCGAAGTACAACACCGCTGAGCGTTTGCGGACTGCTAGTCGGGAAGGGCTCGTCAACGCGCGTTTGGCGCCTGGCGTGGTGGATGCTATTATAGGTAAATCCTAAGCGCGATTTCTTCGCAACTCATACCTTGCGGAAGAGTCCGTGTTGCGTGTGCTCCGGCTACTATTGGTCGCTCTCAATTTGAAGACAAAACCAACTTAAGCAACCTGTGTGCGCACACATTGAACGGGGTTGGGCAGTAGGCTGGTTGTTTTTTGGTGTACATCTGAGGCTGCGGTGCGGACCCTGCGAAATAGCGTGTCGGAAAAATATTTTGCATTAGGGATTGCTTCTGTCGTATACCTGGTATCGTTACCAAAACACGCATAACGAGGCCTTGCCATGACGGATGATCTGCTTCAATGGTGAAGACACCTAAACTCACAGCCGCTTTGGAACGGTGTGTTATCTATTGTATGAAGCTAGCATTGGTGTCTTGTCTCTCAATATGAATGACCTGTGAACACACCTTCATTTCCAGCAGCTTACCGCCCTGAAAGCAGCTCAATTAGGCATCGGTGAACTTGTATGGTCCTCGGAACGTTTAGATCTCTCACTGTTGGCAAGCTGTCTGGAACCTATGAACACTTTCCGTTGAGCAAGTATTGATGTCAATGGTGCATCCCTATTGTTTCTCCTTTGTGTGCAGCTGCGGCTACGGCTGGCTCTGGCGTTGTTGCTGGTGAGTGTGACCTGATTTTGCTTTGCTTCAGTAAGTTGCTCATGCCTGCAGCATGCTTGCAACATAAGGTCGGAGCAGTGTGGTCTGCACTTCCTGTTACAAGCAACTAAGGAATGCGGCTTCCCGCCCCCATATGAAGGAACCAAATCACGATTCTATAAGTATGACAGATATCCCTTAAGGACAACAGTAGAGAGGTCTGACAGATTAATGTCTAATTCACTATACTCCCCTGTGGGCAGACCTCCATCCACAACCGGAAAACAATCATTGGGTGTTTCTGGTGAAGCAGCTGGCCGCATTTATTGCGGCTTTGTAGGGAGACTGGCCGTACAGTGGCGGTAGTGGCTTGGCAGTGTGCAGTCTGCAGCATAGGAGCACCGGCGCGCATCTGTATGTGGGTGGGTGGAAATCAGCAGTGTGGATATGGACAGCTTGTTCAGACGGCTGGGTGCACATCACATCGCACCCCAGCACTGTCAACGACACAAGTCACACACAGATCATCTAAACTGGGGATTCAGCAGTCCATTGACAAGTCTTCACCAATAGTGCTACCCAATGCATACTTATTGCTTATTCCTTGCGTGTGATATGCCAGCATTAGAGTCCTTAAGGTTGGAATGGTGAACGATGCTTCCCGAGATACCATGATACTGTAGGCTGCTTATGTTTATATTTAAAAAAGTATCCTTATGCAGAATTTACGATGTGGGAAGCATACTGTAGCAGCTGGCCACTGAAAAGGCCTCTACACACTACACGCTACATGCGTATTTATAGCACCGTACTGTGTACCGGCTGCTACATTACCCCCCTTTGAAGGGGTCCATCCCAGGCCCTTAGAGCCTCGTATACCACCAGCCTGTGCCTACCTTCGCCTACCCTCGGGCAGTGGGGTGTTCAAGCCCACGTCTCGTCATGTGCCAACCTCACATGCGCCTAGCCATCTTCAGATTTTTCAGGCACAGAGACAGTCCAGTAGGTTCAGCTACTTTCAGAGTTTCGCGATAATCGCTCACTGAATCACCAAACCCGATTTCCACTCAAGTGTGATTGGTGGGGGTTGAACTGACAACTTCAGGATCGTGAATCCTCACGAGGTCTTGATACCAAATGTCGCAGCTGGCCGCTGAAAAGGCCTCTCGAGATGCTGGTGGTCACGCTAAGCGCATATTTATAGCGCCATACTGTGTACCGGCTGCTACACATACATATGTCCATAGTCCAGGGCAACAGAGGGGTTCACCCTGGGGCCGTGTTACCCCTCCTGCTGGGTTGGAACTTACAAGGGGGTTACCAAAGGGCTACTGGGGGTTGAAAATGGGTAACCGATGGGTAACCCATGGGTTACTGACCCAATCAGTGCCTTAGGGAGGGTAAAAAATCCTTCTGATGGTAGGAGCTAAAGGTGCACCTAGTCAATGGATGGTGGTGACCTGGGATAACATTGACCTATGAGCTCACCAGGAACAGAGTTGAGCCTCTGTTGATTCAGCAGATTCCATTGGATGCTGATAGTGGGTGCTGAACCTGAGTGATCCACTGAGAAGTTGGCTAGGGTGACTGGATGAGGGTGCCCTGACATACCAGGAAAGGCAGGGTCTGCTGTGTAGCAGCCACGGGGTGAAGATTTGACCCCAACTGTCCCACACATCATACATTGTTTTTAAGGTGTATATATGTAAGTATATGTATGATGTAATCCATGTGATCACATGGATGAAGCACATCATTATTTGCCATCTGTCTCTGTGAGTGTTGCATGCATTTAAGCAGCCATCACACCCCAACCCTAGACACACATATGTATATCCAGGCATCCTCTGATGGTGATGAATGGATTGTGTATTCGTATGGTTCCCTTATCCTTCACCAATTGCAGGTGCAGTGGCTGGCCCCAGCAGTACAGGGCAGCTCGGCATGCCTGCACAGGGGCACCTGCGCAGGGGCACCTTGGCCAGAGGAACTGGTGGTGAGTGCCAGTGTACAAGGGCTACGATTAGGCGTGGAAACATATGGTGTAACTGAGATTTTGGAGCGTAAATTGTGCAAACCGTCAAGTGTAAAGTGTTGATTACCGTATTTTATGGTTATTCTGGGCACATGAGCCATGTGCAAAAATTTAAGGTCATATATCCCGTGGGCTTTTTGATGTCTCCACAACACCATTGTGATCAGCTTCTTTAAATATTTCTTTTCAAATATTTTATTGTTGTGCTGTGTGGGTGTGGAGATGGCCTATGTCCACTGCAAGGGCCTCCCTAAGATGCTGGCAGATCTGCCTAGAGAGTGCTTCGATGGGGCCATTTTAGTTCATAAAATTTCTTTGAACAGGTATAACTCCCTAATGAAGGAGTTATTATGCAGCATGTATTCGTGGGTGATGTGGGTGGTGTACTACAGCAGCTACATCCTATTATGCACAGTTATGGCTATTGAAGTATGTTCAGTCACTACATAATAATGGTGGTTAATTCAGTCTTCTGATTTATTAGGTTGAGTGGCAGCAACAATGGTAATGTACAATTAATGGACATATTCATGCACCTGCCTGTCACACCTGGCCATGGCCTGCAATCTGTCAGCACCCAGTATGCATAGCACAGCAGTGCATACCTGTTCAAAAGGTAGGAGGCCCAGGTGGACTGTGAAACACTGTACATACATACGGATTATGGTGCCCCTCTCGCAGGGGAGAGCAGGGAACTGCCCCAGAAAAGGGGGCTGCTGGTGAAGTGTAACCACCCTGTAACAGCATACATACTGCCTCCATCTATTGGATATGCAGGAGCCACTGGTGATGATGTGGGCTGGAAGGAGCCCTGCAGGGGTGTCAGCCGACTGTGTTACAAGGAGGAAACCATTGGGACAGCCTGCCTAATGAATCTTCATTGGCCAGACGGTGGCAAACATGGTGGTGAGTGGGGATGAGCAGGCAGGGACGGGGACAACTGTAGCATTTGATCCCAGAACCAATGTTGCATGTATGTAAGAAGGGATCAGCTCCCCTGGCATCCCCTATGAACACGGAGGGGGGTTAAGAACGTTCTTAAGTCATTCTTAGCCCAGCCAAATTGATAAAATTGAATAATCATTAGAATGTTCTTACACCATTCTAAGAACATTCTAAGAACGTTCGTATGACCTCTATTTATCTTAAAACCGTTCTTTCAAATTCTTTCGCATTCTTCAGGGCCCAGCAGTCTTATGTATTCTCTTCCATTCTTTGGGGTGTTCTTATACATTCTTAGGCCAACTTATTGATTCTTTGTCTAAAGCATACTTAGCTGCTCTTTGGCCGGTTTTAACCATTCTTACCATAGGTCCGCTAAGTATGGCACTCATTCTTAAGTCATATTCTCAGGAAATTCTTTTTGCTGCTTTTATTCTTAAGCCTTAAAAATGTGGGATTCTTAAGGGGTGGATGAAAAAGCCTTTGGGGTGGATTCTTAAGGGGTGGATGAAAAAGCCTTTCAGACACATGTTTCGACCTTTGCTCGCTCCTGTACTTCTACTGATAGGCGCACATTTCTGAGGTATCTGCAAATATCTTAGGAATACAATGCATTGAATTTTACATTTCTAGATGTCCTATGCCGGGACTGAACCTACAACTACGAGACTTTTGTGCCAAACTCTATCACCAAACCTATTCTTCAAGAAAAGTCGTCACAAGATGCCAAAAATCATAAGATGCATTAGTTCTACCCTCGGGCAGTGGGTGACCAGTCCATGTCATGTCATGTCACATCACATCCTGTGCCGTCTTCAGATTTTTCAGGCACAGAGACAGTCCAGTCGGTTCAGCTGCATTTGTTTTCGTGATTGGTGGGAGTTGAACCCGACTTCAGGATCATGGATTTTCACGAGGTCTGGATACCAAATGTAGTAGCTGGCCGCTGAAAAGGCCTTTCAAAATGCTGGTGGTCACACTTTGTGTATATTTGTAGAGCCGTACTGTGTACCAGCTACTACAGGATCAGCTCCATTGGCATCCCTCAAGTACCCTTTGCCTGATGTTATTGTAATTACAATACTTCTAGTTGGTTTATCATGGAGCACTTTCATTATGGACATGTAATGCTGTATTAAAGGAGGAGTCTAGCTATTCATTTGCATCATTGGATTGTGCACTGAGGACCTATACTATCATGGTCATGTACCTGGACAGGTTGCTGGGTCGCCATCACCTGCCGCCACTGCTTCCTTCCAGAAGCAGGAAAGAGAATAAGCATGGAGGGCATTGTAGCATTTGGGCGAAGTGTCTCGTAAGTCTCCTTAGTCATACACTGTACCTGCTTTGCTGCCTCTAATATGCATGTGAACCATGAATATCATAGGGTAAGGTCTGCTATTAATCATGGTAGCTATGCTTAGCACCAGATCATGATTATCTTTGGGGTGGCATGTACCATGTGGGTGCTGCAGCATCATGTGAAAAGGAACATGCAGATAGCACTTCAGTTAATAATATATGGCTATTGGAATGCTCTACATACAGGCATGTGGCAAGCTTTCCAGGCTATGACATCACATTCCTGGCGCTGGAGGAGCCTGGAGGTGTCATTGAGTGGGTGCCCTTCTGGTAAGACAGTTGATTTGGGTAATTTGGGTATTACTTGAATGTTACATGCATATGATTTCTGTTGCCCTTAATTCATTAAATTTGGTGGCTGGCAGTTACTCCTATAATGTGGGCTGTACCCCTTAATATACCTGCAGCTGGGCTGCTGGAATCGGGCTGTCTTGCTGCCAGCCTGTCAAGCTGGTGAGCTTTCCACAGGTATTAGACAAGGAGGTTATCAGCAAGGCCACTTGGGACGCACCCAATGTGTCCAGTGGCATGGTGACGTGGATTTTGGATGATTTCGACGAGGCTGTTGCTGATTACTCTGGTGAGTCTTTCTCTAAGTCATACTACCGTACTGCCACTAAATGTTTGCGAGTCTAAAAGTTTGCGAGGTGCAGAAAGAATTAATAATTCAAAATGCTTGCACTAAAACCTTGCAAGGGCTGGGCTGGAGTTAAAATGTTAATTTTAAAACTTTGTGAACTTGAATGTTGAATCCAACACACAGCAGGCAAAGCATCTGTATCCGGATAGGAGTATATAGAGTCTGCTAATATACCAAATAATTAATAAAAATATTCTACAGATTGTGAGGACCCGAATAATTAATTATTTAATTCGCAAACATTTAGTGGCAGTACAGTAGCTTGATATTGTATGCTTGACTTTTTGGACACATGGGATTATGAGTCTGCATTTGAACTGTATGTGTTGTCTCAATTTTTTAATCCAAGCCATGGGTTAGATCCTGACTTGGACTGGCCCCATCTGCAGGTTTGTTGCCAAACTCAAGTGGTGGTGCAGTAGTGGTGGGCCCGACTATCCTCGCTGGTGTCCACACCGGCAGTATCTACCGCTTGGAGGAGGACTTGCCAGACCAGCAGCAGCATGACCAGGCCAGGATGACCAGGCCATTGATACCGGATATGGAGCTGGAGGAGTGGACAGCTGAACCTTTGGCATCTAGCCAAAGGGCTGCTGCTGGGAAGCGGAAGAAGGTGGAGGCAGCAAGCATGAGCAGTGACCTGGAGCAGAAGATATCGTATTGTATCAAGAACATCGAGCACAAGGGGGCCATGGGCACATTTGTGCCGTCACATACACTGCGCCGGCTCTACAAGAGTGTGCTGGAGCTGAATCCACCCCATTGATGAGTGAGTCATATGGTGGTTGGGGATACTAGTGCTATGACCATGACATATCTCGTACCTTGCATAAGTAGATTTTCTCATACTTCTCATATTGCATTGCAGCTAGCTAGGACAACCTATAATATTATTGTGGATTATTTGTTGTACACTATCCCAGAGTGTACTATACCTATGTAGGGGTTATCCCTATGGCAGCCAAACTGCGTGTTATGGCCCCCCCCTTAGCAACTGGACTAGTTACTCCTGAGCCCCGTAGCGACCCCGTAGCGACCCCGTGGCGACCCCGTAGCGACCCCATAGCGACCCAGTAGCGACCCCGTAGCGACCCAGTAGCGGGGCAGTGCTCCCACACGAGCTACTGCCCCGCCACTGGGCCGCTACGGGGTATCAACTGTGCCGCAACCCGTCTCTCCATAACACGTCGTTTGGCTGCCATAGGGGTAGGGATGTACGTGGATTCATAATTTTACATGTACATGTCGCCTAGCAGCAGCTACATGCATACGAAATTCCCAAGTCCTGCTATGTAACAACATTAAGCCATATGCATTGCCTGCTTCAGCTGAAGCAGCTGCAGCTTCCAAACAATCTGCAGCTTCCAAACAGCACCAAACATTTCCACAACAGCGGCTGCTGCAGCTGCAGCTCATCGATCTGTCAACAATTTGCCTCAAAACATGCTACATTATAGCTCAGAAGCGCTCTATCCACCCTAACACTTTCTGGTATTCATGCCTAGAAGTAGTCCTCCATCACCGTCAGTTAACACTCCAAGACAAGTCTGTACAGTGACTGTACAGTGCAGCAGCGCTGCTGCTAGCAGTAGCTTCTCCACAAGCGGCTTGTGAGCCTGTATGCAGCAGCTGCTGCAGCAGAAGCTTCTAAACAGCTCCAAACAGTTTCATATTGGGTGCATCCAGCTGCAGCTCATCCATCTCTCAACAAAATTTGCCTCAAAACATGCTACATCATAGGTCACATGCACTATCCACCCTAACACCTTCTGGTAGTCATGCCTAGTATTAGTCCTCTATCGCTGTTAGTTAACACTACAAGACATTGCTGCAGCAGCAGTCCTCCACAAGCAGCTTGTGAGCCTGTATGCAGCAAAGATCAGGCAGGGGCATACAATAGCACCTTTGTCAGACCATCAAGAACTGCAATGACTGTGATGTGGAACTTAGAATGCAGTTTTATGCCACACACCTTACTACTGCTTTAACCCTCCACTGACTCTGCGTGCTGATGTGTGGTGGGGAAAGCATGTGGTGTTGTCCACAGCAGCTGCAGGTTGCTGGGTGGGCCCTGTAGACAGACAAACATGCCCATCAGAAGTTAAATACACCCAAACCCTGTATAGGAGACTCCATACAGAATATATGCAGCAAGAGGTAATTTGACACAAAATCCAAAAACTGCAGTTGCCCTTGTTTGCTTGCACATGAATGACAATTACCCCCCCTCAAAATCAGAGTGATGAACGTAACTGTGTAGATACTTGTAGTCACAGCTATCACCTCCCAAGCAGAAAAAGCATGCCCGGGAATCGAACTCAGGTCGTAACTAGGATACTTGCCTAAAACCAACCCATTCCATCATAACTTCCCCAGCTGGGAACATCTCACCATTCCCAAGTCTTAGTTCCGTGTATCAGCTAGTAACCAACATACTTCCTCAACGGCTTCTTCCTGTTTAAACCTGGGTAGTTGCCTTAATCAACCTGTTACATCATGATTTCCCCCAGAGAACAACTCACCAGTGGTCACTATTCACGTGTCATGCCCCGTGATATGAGCCAGTAGCCAACATATGCCTCCATCCTCAATGGCTTCCAAACCGGCACCCATATCTCAGGCAGAGCGGCATCATGCTTATGTCACCTTTCTTCATCGTAGGCAGAGCTTTGGTGGATGATGCCATCTGCAGCTCCCGTTTCTCGCTTCTGTACATATGCCTGCTGAAGCAAGTTTACCATATGGGGTTGCAACCCCCTCATTTGAGTCCTGCAGATCATGCAAGCAAGCAGTTGCAATGTCTAGCACGCAAGCCCAATTTTACTACTTCTCATGAGACAACATCATACTTTGGGTTGTTGCTTGGGTTTGGTGCTGCCCAGGTGTGCAGCCATGGCATGAGGAGCGTGGTCGCGATGGTGAAGTCCTTTGTTGCCAAGTTGCCATAGAACTCGGCAAAGTCGTCATATTCCATTCCACTGACGGCCAGGAATTCCTCAAACGCTTTGGTGGCCTTATCACCAGCAGCACTGCAAACGTTGCTGGGCACGTTTAAAATGTACCGCTCATCTAATGAACAAGTGCAATGGCTGATGATGCCACTCACTTGTCATTCGTTGGCTGCATCATAGCTGCAGCTGGACCTCGTGCATCCTGTGCCTATTGTCCGACGGCTGCGTGGGCTGCATCCCAAATCCACCCACAAAATCATCATTGGCTTCCATTGTGATATTCCTCTTAAGCATCTTTAGAGATTTGACCTATGAGGTTAACCATAGTTAGAGAGTAGGGTCGGGCTGGAGCCAACTATAGCACAGCCAGAGACTCTTGATCCTGAGTAAGGTAATTTATTACAAAGACGATAACACCTGTTAGTTTGATGCTGCAATGAGTGGCAATGCACAATGAGACAGGTACAGATCCTGCCTGTGGGTCGCCGCTGTACTGCCAAGAGATTGGCTGGCGCAAATGAAAGGCACCAACGGCAAATATATTTGAGGTGGAACCATTCTGTTTATTCATGCAAGCAGCTAACCGCGGTCTATGTGAGCGAGGTAGTTTGACTGTGCAAGCCCCTACAAACACGGAGGGGGGTTAAGAACGTTCTTAACTCGTTCTTAGCCCAGCCAAATTGATAAAATTGAATAACCATTAGAACGTTCTTACACCGTTCTAAGAACGTTCTAAGAACGTTCGTAAGGCATCCGTTTATCTTAAAACCATTCTTTGAAATTCTTTAGCATTCTTTGGGGCCCAGCAGTCTTAGGTATTCTCTTCCATTCTTTGGGGTGTTCTTATTCGTTCTTAGACCAACTTAGTGTTAAAGCATACTTAGCTGCTCTTTGGCCGGTTTTAACCATTCTTATCATAGGGTTGCTAAGTATGGCACTCGTTCTTAAGTCTCATTCTTAAGAAATAAAACCACTCTTTACCATTCTTTAGCATTCTTTAGGGCCAGCAGTCTTATGTATTCTTTTCGTTCTTTGGGGTGTTCTTATACATTCTTAGGCCAACTTATTCATTCTTTGCCTAAAGCATACTTAGCTGCTCTTTGGCCGGTTTTAACCGTTCTTACCATAGGTTCGCTAAGTATGGCACTCATTCTTAAGTCATATTCTCAGGAAATTCTTTTTGCTGCTTACATTCTTAAGCCTTAAAAAATGTGGGATTCTTAAGGGTCATGATGAAAATTCAAACACACGTTTCGACCTCTTCATTCTCACATGCACCTCTATTGGTAGGCGCCCTTTATTAGGGTATCCACATGTAGGTTATTCTTACATTGAAATCCATTTCGCGTATTGTATTGGAATCGAACCTAAGACTGCGATACTATTATACTATAATGTTTCCCTAAACCTATGCTGTAATAAACGACACCTCAACTTAAATTGTTGTCACAGCATCCAAAGGTTCTGTATCTATTCAAAACGTGTGCGTATACTATGAGCTGCGCCAAGTGCCGTACACGAACATATGTGCGTGTACGACAAACAACTCAACACCTGTTCAGCAACTCAGCTATCAGCCCTGGCCCCTGTACAAAAACCTGGCGTGCAGCCTGACATGGCCACATACCTGCTGCAGCCCACTGCCCAACACCATCCCTGGCTGCTGCAGCTGCATGAAAAACAAGAGGCGCCCCGAGGCCACTGCCATGTTTAGCTGAATCCAAATGGAAGCATCCTTGCTTGCCATGGAGAGGCTGGCAGACTCATGTGTTTTCTACAAGCCCCCACAAGAAGAGTTGG